GAACCTGAAAGTCCCCTGGGGACAGGATGTGCAACACCCAGTTATGGGCCTGCTGGAAACCAAGCTGTTTACAAGGCATTGATTCTTTAATAATTTTAGTACAGCCCTGTTGGAGCAACTCATAGAGTAGAAATGGCTTTGGCTGTGCCAGGATTTCCCAAAATGCCCAAGGGATACTTTTTATTAGCAGCAGAAGTTTCTTGCCAATTCATTTGTGTCTGTGAAGGCAACCAACAAGGATGTTTAATAGTGCTCTGTACCACACTGTCTTCTCCTGCTTTATCTTTTCCTTTGAAACACAAATCATAAGGCAAGATTTGTTTGCTGTTTTTAAACTGACTGACATGCCACCTCATTGCTAGCTTTTAAATTTAATGTCAGAGGTGAAAGTAAAGTAAAATACATATCATAATTTGGTAACTGGTTATTTTACAGTAAAAACAAGAGATAGGAAAGTTGTCAAGTCACTATATCCCAAGGGGATTGTGTGCGCGCATGTGCACATATGCATGCATGTTCATGTGTGTGGCTTCATGCATCAGTTCCTTCAGGATTATTTTATGTAATCCAGACTTTAGTGTGCTTCTAGAGATCACCAGCAGTTGTAAAATGTTCTGCCTACATTGATTACAGAACAAATGCCTGTACCAATGCAGCTTAATTTACTGACATTGATGCTGGTCAATTTAATTAATACAAGTTCCTCATAACATGGAATGTGAACACTTTGGAGACAGAGATAGGCCTATCTCAGATGAAACAAGTGCAAATTTCCTCAATCCAAATCAAAGAACACACACATCAACTCAGTTTTATGAAAATTCAGCAGCTTAGACTGAAACATTTAGTGGGACAGGCCTCCAGAGAAGGACATTTATAAACGAAATAGGGGAGAAGGAATAAAGCAGAGGGGTATTAGGAAGATACCATTTGCTCAACCAGTTTTATACTGCCAGTGTTGATGGTCATGGTAAGCATTATGTGGAGAGACACAAAGTCCATACCATGTTCTCCATGTCTGCTGATACAAAAGGGAATGCAGAATCAATATATCTAAATCTGCAGATAGGGGGTGCATTTACACCAAACAGGTTTTTCTGTAAACCTGGTGACCTCAGCATAGTTCCCTCTAAGCTGTGCTAGGGGGTGCTGGTGCACAAAATTTTAACAGGCAGTGCAGGGATTTATACTTCTGCTCACAAAGCATTTTTTTCCTTCATTGGAAACAATGGCAGATGGGGTCTGTCAGGCTCTTGGACAAAGTTTCTCTCAACAACACTCACTGAAGGTGATTTGTTTATTGAAGAATAAAGATGTTCCAAGCTAAGAACATTGTTGAGTCAGAAATAAGGTTCTGGCGCGAAACCCCCCAATTATACATGGTTCAAATGTGATCCCCTCCAATCACACTGTCCATTCATTCCCACCTAACCCCCCACCTGTAAATTATCTGTTTGTTATCTCAGCTAAGGCGGTAAGCACAGACACAGAACAAGACCAACATCCCTGGGAAAGGGAGGTATCTTCAGAAAGTTACATGAGATGCATTGTCCTACAATAAAGCCATTTTCACTCTCACACATTCACACTCCCCCCTCCTCTGGAATTTCCCCAAACTACATGGGAAATGAGACAGTGAGTTTGACAGGGTCACCTTCTTCTGGGGCCCATAGAATTAGACCCCCTGGTCCAATCCTTTTGAAACTTGGGGGGGGGGAGTTGAGGAGAGGCACCAGCAGCTATGCTGCAAATTGTGTGCCTCTACCTAAAACACCCAGCCCCCCAGAGCCCCAGAGATCTCCAGATTGATTCTCCATTATAGCCTATGAGGCCTTTGACTATAATGGTCCTCATAGGGTATAATGGAGCCAAAATGATTTTTTACACCCGTATTATGCTTTTCAGTATGATTTGTAAGCTGCCTTGAGTCACAGGAAAAAGTGGGATAGTAAATATTTGAATAAATAAGTAGTCTGGGCAGATTGATAACATTTAAGCAACTTCCTTCTTGTTAGGTTAGGGAGGGTTCTGACAGTGATTGTTCCTCCTCTGTTATACATGACCTGTAATGCTGGTTGTCATGTTTCACTAAAAAAAAAAATGTAGATGCTTGCCCTACATGCAAGTGGTTAAGACGCTGAACTGCAGGCTGTGGAAGGTCAGTAGTTCAGCAGTTCAAGACCCGGGTGCCGCAAGACAGGGTGAGCTCCTGTCTCTAGTTCCAGCTCCTGCCAACCTAGCAGTTCGAGAGCAAGAAATTGCAAGTAGATAAATAGGGACCACTTCGGTGGGAAGGTAACAGCGTTCCGTGCGCCTTGGTGTTTAGTCATGCCGGCCACATGACCACGGAATCGTCTTCGGACAGCGCTGGCTCTTCGGCTTTGAAACTAAGATGAGCACTGCAACCCTAGAGTCGGATTCGACTGGCTTTCGAGCAAGGGAACCTTTACCTTTACTTTATACCAATATATTGGACTGAGGCGGGTAGACCTGTTCTCTGGAGGCCAAGTCTACCAATATAGTGGACTGGGTTGAAGAAATGGACTCTCCTGCATTATTAATTACAGTCTTAGGGAAGGCATTTAAAGGAGAAGCTCCTAGTGTGTTATCAGGAGCATCTGCCAGTAATGACAAGCAGTTAGAGAGTGGGATTTGAAAATTTTGAGGAGGCCAAGTATTAGTTGGTTCATTTTATCCTGAATGACTCCTCTCCAGGTATAATTGAGAAGGTGGCTATATTTTTGCAGTGTGCTATAAAGTTGTGCTGTGATAAGATATAAAGAGTCTATTTGATATTATATTTTCCCAACTGTAATTTAAAAGCAATCTTTATTCTTTGTTCCATCTTATCTCTTTTATATACCAATAAAGTACTAATTGATTGATTGGTTGATAGTGGACTGGGTTGGGTAGCCCTGTTCTCTGGAGGCCAGGTCTACCAATATAGTGGAAAGGGGTGGGTAGACCTGTTCTCCGGAGGCCAGGTCCACCAATATAGTGGAAAGGGGTGATTCTGTTTTCTCTTATAATGTTAAAATTATTCTTAGAATATAGCTTAAATGTAATTTAAAATAATTTATTCTGAGATTTTTACAAGGTTATGGAAGCAATCTTCTAAAAAACTAATTTATGTGATAGTCAAATATAGAGTCGCTCACAACTTTAATGCTACTAGCTTTTTTCGCTCACGAGGTAGAATTTCTGCGCACAACACTGTGGAGCTTAGAGGGGACATTGGTAGAATTTCTGCGCACAACACTGTGGAGCTTAGAGGGGACATTGG